TCCCCAGGCTACAGAGCACTGTCTGTGAGCATGCCCATGACATTTAAAAAAATTCCCCAAGCTACTTAATTGAAGGTGCATTTCTGGGGTGGATCAGAGGATCCGGAATGTATACCTTTTTTTTTACAATTTTTTTTTTTACTTCGTTGTCGCATTCAGCTGTGCAGGAACAAATCACTTCTTAAGCTGGCCACAGACCTTACAACCATCGTAAGGCCCATCTTGGACAGGCAGATCGTACTTGAGATAATCGCAAGCCCGCCCCGTTGAGGGGCCGGCTTCCGATGACCGCAATGCTGAACGGGCAGTATGCGCTTGCTCACACCGGCCCGTGCAGCATTTATCTTACAAACATGTCACACACCCGCCGACAATCGTACGGTTCTCGTCGGGTTTTCGCACATGTTCCTAAGATAAAAAGTCGTGCGACCTTACAGTGGCAGAGGTCGCACGCCTTCCACACACCTTGCGATAATCCTACGATTTGCGAGATTTCCCTCGATTATCGCAAGGTGCCCACACACCTAGCGATAATCGTACGATAATCGCGTGAAATCTCGCGATCGCACGATTATCGCGATTCTGTCTGCTCCAGTTTTGATAAATTCCCCTCAATGTGTAAGCATTGTGTTTGCATTCTCTCCTACAGTGTGCTCCTACGGAGCAATCTGTAGATTGATCTGAAGCCCTGGGACTGATTGTTTCAGCTCCTGGGCTTAGTGCTGGACCCCAGCTGTCACTGACAGTTCAAGTGCTGTAAGCCACTGCGACCTGCAGGAGCTGTTGAGTCTATGCACCATTTTAAAATGGCTATGGTAAAACAGCTGCTGTCCCTGTGTTGTTTTAGAAAGGCACCCACAACTCAAGGGGTTAAAAAAGAGATTTTTTGCTAACAGATTGGATAATATACTAGATAAATTAACAATTTGTTTTTAAAAACAGCAGTTAGAGACAAAAAGGAGATCAAAAATCACATCACTTTTATGTGACTCATTCACTGCAGTTAGTCTTTCCTCATACCTTGCAGCTTTAATGTCAGTGCTATAAATGTGAGGTGGATGGCATCGTTCATAATGCAGTAATCTCCTGACAAATCTGGATGCAGTGTAAGAGAAATAGAAGATTTTCTTTTATAATAAACAGTACTGTGCAAAAGTTTTAGGCAGGTGTGAAAAATGTGAAAGTAAGAATGCTTTCGGATTAAAAGTGTTGATAGTTAATTTTTATCAATTAACAAAATGGAAAGTAAATGAACAGATAGAAATCCAAATCAAATCAATATTTGATGTGACCTCCCTTTGCCTTCAAAACGGCATCAATTCTTCTAGGTACACTTGCACACAGTGTTTGAAGGAACTCGGCAGGTAGGTTGTTCCAAATATTTTGAAGAACTAACCACAGATCTTCTGTGGATGTAGGCTGCCTCAAATCCTTCTCTCTCTTCATGTAATCTCAGACAGACTTGATGATGTTGAGATCAGGGCTCTGTGCGGGCCAAACCATCACTTCCAGGGCTCCTTGTTCTTCTTTATGCTGAAGATAGTTCTTAATGACATTAAATGTATGTTTGGGGTCGCTATACTGCTGCAGAAAAAAATTTGGGAGCAATCACAGGCCTCTCTGATGGTATGGCATGATGGATAAGTATCTGCTTGTAACACTTGTGTCGCCTCACGGCCAGGAACGAGAGCCGTTCGCGCTGCTGCGCAGGCGCGCAGCGAGGCTCCGCCCACTCTCGGACGGGGTCCGTCGCTGTTACTGCGCAGGCACGCCACAAGACTCCGCCCACTTACTCAAGCCGTTGGCATAAAGCCGCGGTCCGCTGTTTGATCGGCGTCCCACTATTGTTGAAACAGGACAGCCTCCACTTGCTCCACTCCAGGAACCAAATCAATTGGGGAACCAAGCTAAGCCTACGTTCTCCCACACCAGGGAGTTCCACGAACCGCAAGTATCCCGGCCATAGCTGTATGGCTATACCTGCTGAACTACCTATTGATTACTACAGGCTATTGAACTGCCTACTGATTATCAGTGAACTGCATACTATTCATATGACCCATTGAACTGCCTATTGATTATCAGTGAACTGCATACTATTCATATGATCTATTGAACTACCTGTTGATTCTAAATCTGCATAAGATAGAACCATATACTTATCTCGCCCCACCATTTGAATTACCTACTGAATTCTCAATACCTACCTTGTTTTGCTATACAGGGTTGAAGTGTTGCTATACGGGGTGTGATGTGAAGCAGCTCCCTCCTCGCCTTACTCACATACTGGGCATCAGAGGTAGAGCTGCGATCTGATTCCCGTCCTTCTTGAATAGAAGCCTTATCCGCAGCTGCGGTCCATAAAAACTACTACCCCCGGGGGCAAGTTGTTACACTGCTGGTATTTCTCAGCATTGAGGACACCATTGATCCTGACCAAATCTCCAACTCCATTGGCTAAAATGCAGCCCCAGACTTGCAAGAAACCTCCACCATGCTTCACTGTTGCTGCAGATTCTCATTATTGTACTGCTCTCCAGCCCTTCAGCGAACAAATTGCCTCCTGCTACTGCAAAATATTTCAACTTTTGACTCATCAGTTCAGAGCACCTGCTGACATTTTTCCACCCCAGTTCTTATGTTTGTTATCTAGCCGAAGGATCGGCCGAAGCTACGGCCAGATCCTTCGGCAGCTTTGTGAATAGACCCACTTGTGTCTTGTATCTATGCTCAGTCTTGCCATTGTTTATTAAATGTGACATGAAACTGTCTTCCACAACCTTACCTTAACAGCAGAGTTTGGCTGTTCATCACCCAGTTTTAAGCCTCCTACACAGCTTTTTTCTGTTTTAGTTAATGACGGTGTTTGTATATCAGATATGTCTACTTTAATTTTCTTTATGGGTGAGAGTGACTGAAAATCAATTTTGGAAGAGACTCATAAGGCCCTACACATTCTATATTACTGGACATTTGGCCTCTGGTTTGGCTAACTGGGCGCTGCTTTCTTTTTCTGTTTTCTGTTGAAGTTGCCAAACACAGTTCTTTGCTTATCTCTGTTGGATCTAAATCCAACAACAAAAATGTAATACATTTTATAATTCAATTGCATATACGACATCTGAGATTCATATATGGGGGGCCCCCACTCCTGAAAACCTGTTAATAGAAAAAGAATTGGAACCAATTGAGTTTTTTTTAGCAGGGCCAGTGACACAATGCCATATATTGTATTTTTAAAAACTTAATTTTATTTGATTACATTTAAAAATCCGTACATAAAATATCATATTTAAAAAAACCATCAGCTCATTGCTTATATGTTTAGAAAGATATGCAAGAAAGACCTCCATGGGACACACCCTCAGATGATAACAAATTAGTGCATTTTTTTAATATAATCATCACAATTACTGTCAATGATCCATCACATGATTGCTTAAAGTCTCTTGAGGGTGGTTTGCTCTTTCTACGCATTTCGCGCACACCGTGCTTCCCCAGGAAAGGAATAAGAGGAGGTCAATGTGAAAGCAATGCACAGAATGTATTCATGAAGAGGAGTAGCAAACCCCAGGACTTGCAAGTCAAAATGAGGTACCCTACCCAGACAGATGAACCCAATTCTGGAGGATTGGTTAAAACACATTTGTACACTAAATCCTGGTAAGCAAGGCAGTCTTAATGTGTGGAATACAAGGAAACAGATCTTGTATGTTGGATGCTTCCAGCTCAAACACCACATCAGTCTACATGCCAAAAGACACCTGTACCACAAAATCCCCATCACCGCCGACCGCAATGCTGCCCCATTGCTTACTAGTCCTTAGATGTGGTGGATGCATTTGTTTCTTTTTTTACGTTTTTTCCCTTTCTTTTCACCTGGTGATCCGGCCAGTAACACGTCCTGTCCTAGAGTGACATTGCATACTTAATTGTATCTATGGAGAAGGAGTGTTGTCACCATATGACAGGAATACAAACACCTCACACCCGTCTCCTGTCCATAACATAGAGTGGAAGGGCACTGTAGTCTTCAGAGATAGCTGGTAACTGATTAGTTTCTTTGGGGCAGAGAATCCTTGGCAGAGTTATATATAAATATATATATATATATATATATTTGAAATGTGTTAATAAGAATGTAATAAATAAAAAAAGTAATTGATAAGAATGCAGCACATGCAGAGAGAGCTGCATGTTATCAGATGGCCAGATTTCTGTCAGTGCAAACAGGTATTTTTTGTACTCTTATTGAACTTATATAACACCAATCTAATGGTATATGTACCAGACCAAAGGGGAATAAATATGAAAAGTTAATTGTTAGTGTTTACATACATACATACAACACTTTCTTTCCAGGCATGCCTATATTTTTGTTTTTTAAAATTATGACAGAGTTACTGTAACAGAGTTATGTAACTTTAGTTATTTAAGGCTTAATATTTCGTTTATATGTAAAAGTTCCTGTGTATTTACAAAGTTTGATATATTTGACAGTGTGCATTAACATTATTAATGAACCTGCTTTGGTGTGTGCAAACTATTGTGAGTTGCAATCAGCAGAGAAGAGGCAGTGCAGTGTCTTTTAATGCAAATTTTTAAGCAGGAAGTTGTGTTTGGTAAAGCATAGTCCCTGAGCATCAGAATATCTTTTTTGTATTTATTTTTGATAAATGTACTACATTTATTTAGATTGGAGCTATTCATATACAAAATATCATATAACTGTAACTGCTTTTTAACATTACTAAATATGGCACTACTGCCTTATGTTTAGTCATCTTCCAAGTTTCTTTTACCTTTTGAAGTTCTCAATCTTAAATATCACTAGCAAATTCCAGAATTATGTTGCCATCTGTTGCATCTCAACCTTCATGTGAAAATACATCTTTTGATAGGCATGAAGGACATGCCCGTTCCAGTTATTGCTCCAAACTGCTGCCGATTATTTAAAAGAAATTTACATGTTTCACAGATATACTTTTTTTTATTTTCAGGATCAAAGGGACCGTACATATTCTACATTAAAAACAAAATTAACATCTGCTTCCATCAATAATCTTCGACCTGGAACAGTTTATGTGTTTCAAATTCGAGCCTTCACTGCTGCTGGCTATGGAATGTACAGTCCTAGGCTTGATGTCACCACCCTGGAGGAGGCTACTGGTAACCTTTCAACTTTTTTCTACAGTATGTAGCAAGTTTACTTGTAAAATATCCATTCACAATGGGGGGCACTTTTCACCCAAAAAAATGGGCTGAAAATCTCGGCTTATACTCGAGTATATACGGTATGAGTTAAATGACAACATAGTGATGTGTATTTTGTTTGCTAACAATGTTTTTATAAGGGGTATATTTGTAAAGTAACAGATGTGCCATTCATCAAAGATTTACCACAGGTAAACCATCCTGGTGCATATGTTTAACACTTTGCTAGAACCCTTATTTTTTTATTTTTATGCACATTTTAGGCCTGATAATGACTTAAAACCCCCCAAATATTATATATGTTCTGACCCTGCCGTATAAATTGGTGGCAGACGCAGTTTTTTATGTCACACCAAATTCGCACAACTGTTTATAAAACCCATATTTTCATTCAAAAATATATACTCATATTTATTTTATTACACACAAACACAATATAATACCCAATTTTTTTTTTTATATATATATATATATATGTGTGTTTTATTAAACAATAATGTTTTTTAAATGTTTTCTTTTTTTTTACTTTACTGCTATCATAAGGTAGCTGATGACCCTTTCCCCTCCCTATATCATAGCACAGTCCAGGTGGCAGGTTCTCTCTAAAGATGCATCAGGGGTTAATGTCACCTCTACACTCTTTTAAAGCTAATCGAGCACATCGCTTATACTGGTCCTAATCAGAGCTGATCATATCTGGGTTTATTCTTCACAACAACAGTCTCCTGCCAATCTCCATTCTAACAACCACCATGATGGTCCCAGGCACCCAGCATGGGTAGATGAGCCTAGGAGGGGCATCATGTTACAGTACATATGGAAGTGATCGGGGGCTTTGCAGCCGACTGAACTGCTTCCACAAGAAAGCCAATGGTGCAGTATGCAATGTAAACAGCTTGTAAACAGCTTGTTTACATGTCAGTGCTGCTTCTGACATCGGTAGCATCAAAAGGGTTAAATTACAATTATTGATTTACCTGCAGGTGAATGTTACATTCACTGCTTTATAAATATGCCGCTAAGTCCTTAAAGTGGTCAGCCAACAATTTTAAAGTTTTGGATAGTGACAACAGTTTTACCTGGGAGGAAGTGAAGAAAGTGGGAACATCTCCAAAAGCAACACAGACAGAAGCAATTCTTTTTACTATAGTAGAGGTGTCTAGAGCCCTTGTCAGCTTGCTATTGCAATCGTTTTGTATTTTTGAAGATGTTCTCTCATTTGCTTCTAGGTAAAACTATTGTCTGTTTCTTTAACAGAGCCCTGGATAGCAGTATAAATCCACAAGGGCTCTAATTCTTCCTGACTATTTCCACTACTAAAAAAAAAAAGTGTTTGGCTGTACTTACACTTTACTTTCTGCATGCCCAGGGTTACTTAATATACAGTATCTGTGACTGAATAACTATGATAAGAAGACTTTAATGCGTGCTTTTGCTGACTTGGTTTGGAATACAAATTAGGGTGCAGATTGATGGCCCTTGGTCATTAAGGTATTAACAGAGACTAATCAACTTTGCTGGTGTTACTTATGCAAGTATTAAACTGATAAATACATTTTAAATAATGTATGTTTTTATTCTTGTGTCTTTTTACAGCTACAGCTGTAACCAGTGAGCAGAATCCCGTCATTATAATTGCAGTAGTTGCCGTGGCAGGCACTATTATTTTGGTCTTTATGGTCTTTGGCTTCATCATAGGTAGAAGGTAATATTTTTTTTTTCACTTTCAAAGACAAAAATAATAGAGAACAATACACAGACAATATAAAGAATACCATTTAGTGTACTCTGTAATTAACAAGTCTGTCTGGTGCTGAAACATTAGACATTGTCACTATTAAGGTTCCATGCTAGCTTATTGTTAAGATAATCCTCCTGTGTATAGAATAAAAACACCCACGGCTAAACATCATTCCCTTGGATATAGCCTGGGAAATATATCCATAGGATGAATAATTATTTTTTTTCTGTTTATATGTTATACTTCTGCTTATCAGATGTTTATCTTAAAACTTTCACTTCAAATGTAGTCATTCACATGTGGGCCAAATATGACAAAGGTTAATTTAAAGGTTCAGCTGATTGGCCTGAAGTTATGTCTTGTCTTGATAGAAGCAAGTTGTTATAATTGTGCATTATATATATACTTTGTGTATGTGTGTGTGTTTATATATATATATTTATTTTTTTCTCAAGGAAGCACATTCTTATTTAGTTACAAAATTTCAAGAGTATCTTCAAATAATATATTATATATACACCTTTTTTCATCATGTCTAGGCATTGTGGCTATAGTAAAGCTGATCAAGAAGGAGATGAAGAACTTTACTTTCATTGTAAGTGTTTGCTTTCTTTAATTTCAGGAAACATCTTCTACTTTATTTATGCTATAAATCTGTAATAGTAATTAATCCTCTACAAGTTAAGAGTGACTTGAGTGTGTCAATGGGGACTCAGTAAATCACAGCTGAAGCTCACTCCACTTAGCACATATATTTGTTCTGTAACAAGCGGTCATATTGTTCACTTCTGTGATTATTACTTTCACACCATTTTAAGGACCTCCCATGAGATTCAGTAATTTGAAGGTCAGTGGTCAAGCTGCTGTGGTATTTGCCTATAGCTGCTTTTCCACAATCTCATGTCAATCATCTTAATGAGATGCAATCATTGCAAGTTTGCTAAACATGGAACTCTTTATGCAAACAATGATTATTATACAATACATTTATAATGATAATATGATTTACCTACATATGTCATAAAAAAGCAGGCCAAGGCCTACTACCCAAAGTATGAGATTAGCAAAATCTACAGATTTTGCCAGCCTGCATGTGAGCAAATTGACATGCTCTTGGCCCAATTCTTTATTCTAGATTTAATGTGGATGGCTATTTGACTCACAATTGAGAAATATTCCAGCAAGAAGAAGCAATTATAAATAAGAGCAGAGACAATATCTGCAAGCATCAATCTTCTAAGACAAAATGAGGACATGGAAATTAGATGAAGAAGAACACAATTCATTTATATTTATGACAGAAATTAGAAAGTGCTGATACAGTAAGCTACTTTACCCATGCTCATGCCTTAATGATGACGATCTTGGTTTAGATATTTCCGTTTGTATTTCTCCCTACAAGATTGATTTTTTTTAAATAAGCTTTATGCCATTTATAGTATATGTACTGTACATATGTCTATAAATTTGTAAAATCCTGACAGTTAAGCATACTATGGGCTCACGTTTACATTAGTAAGCGCCTTTGCATTCTGAAACATACCTTTCAAGCACATCTGCTAGTCTTTATTTAACACTAGCAAGAATGCAACATCAAAATTCTGTTCTCTACATTTTTGCTTAAATCTCCATTTAAAAAATGATTTATTGTTTAGTGGATGCTTTCTGGGATAAATGACAAAACCAAGATTTAGGTGATATACGCTATAGCATCTCATTTATATTGACACTCGCCAAAACCTTTTTGGTGTAGGGAAACAGTTAGAATTTCTCTCAAGTTTTGTTTTTTAATAAAGGCAGTTTGAGGAGATATCCCCCCAATTTAAACCCCAGATATCCCCCCAATTTAAGCCCCAGATAAAACAAATACGGAAAGTGAGGGGAAATCTTCAATAGAAAGCGGAGTTCTTACTTTGTCCTTCTCTACTAAAGAAAGTGTTTTTAGTGCTGCCTTTGTATTTGTTGGAGATTGTTCTGGTGACAACCTTGTCACTAGGAGAGGTATTAGAGAAAAAATCGCCTCAATGAAACTAAAGTAGAAACTTTAGAGGTTGTGATCCTTCTCTACGCATATACTGTTGTTGCCTGAAGAAGGGACTGCCTGGTCCCGAAACGTATCTAGAAACGGAGTGCGAGTGACTTCATGGTATTTTGCCTTTTCCATGCTATTCACACCTAAAAGATACACAATGACATGCTATATGTGCAAAATCACATTTATGAATTAATGTATTTATTTTTGCTGCTAACATTAAATATAAAACATTTTGCATATATTCTAATCTATAATATATTCTTCTTCATGGCTTGCTTATGATTCATTTTGTTACATTTCAGGAATTACTGTATTAAACATTTTTATGTAACATTATATGTAGTATTCTATTATCTAAAAAATTAATTCAGATCAACTGTTAATTTGATTAGGATTTATTTCTGAATTGCAGCTTAGCTGTATTTCTTTTCTGTAGTATCCTATGCATCCATTATTGCCAGTTTTACAGCTCTAAGCAAAGTATTCTTGGAAAGGACCAGATTTTTTTTTTTGCTGAACCAGTCTGTCAGCATGCGTTGAAGGCAAGGCTTGTGATTCATTTAATCTGACTGCATCAGCAGCAACAGAACACAGTGGTCACCAGCTATTTACAGTTGGTTTTGTTTTATTGTTCTTTTGTATAACGCAAATTTTCAGGAGTTTGAATGCCTTTTTATTGATTTTTTTCCTTGTGGAAAAAAGCATTAAACTTGGTTTAGTGAGGTCCACACTGTACCTTAATTTTCTATGCGCTTCCATCTTTCATTGAATCGAGCTCTTTTAAAAACAATAGCTCTGTTTACTAAAGCAATTGCAATTTACATTTTTATTTCCTCCTATGGTTTCCTACCAACAATGCTTTGAGATCCCAGCCAACACTATTTCATGTTGGTATGCCAGAGTAGCTCTCTCCTGTCAAAATGTTTCATGACAGCTCGAATAAAGAACCATCGGAGGCCCGTTTGAGATGCACGAGGTTACTTGGAATCCAGGCCGCTTATCATGGAAAACGAGAGTGTGGCTCGTTCTCCATCTGCCTGCCTGAAATGACATTGTAGGAGGTTAACCTATTGTTTCCTATGCCCTCCCACTCTCTCTCTTTCATTCATCTATTTCAGACTCACTAACAGATAAGAGCAAGGTGTTGATAGCAAAAAATACAGACTAAGTGATTGAATTATGCAAATGAGAGCTGAAAGATAAATTAATTGCTGGCATTCCATTCAAACTGTTGCTCAACATTGTCAAAATTCTGATTTATTTAAATGAGAAGTCAGAGATGCTGGTGTCTCAAGAAATCATTAATTTATGCTACAATACTTGCTTTTTATGCTATTGTTTTCATTTTGGAAGTGTTAGGATACAATTAGATAGAATAATAAAACAAGAATACAAATATATAGGGATAAACAAAAACAATAAATGTAGAAGATTTCAGGAAGTGTATGAATAATTTCATATTCATGCAAACATTTACAGTTAACTTTTCTATCCTTTCATTCCCTTCCCTCCTGTTATTCCATTCAATGGTTTATTTTAAAAATTGTCCTGTGAAATATCAGAATTGAAAGCGAAGCCACTGTTTTAGATATCACATTGCTGCGTTTAATCACTGCCTGCATGTGAAAACTGTGATGTTGTGCAGAATGAGGATCTCTTACCATTACAAGCAGCGTTTGACTGTGTAGGATTTTATCAGCTTAAAAAAGCCTGACTCCTATATTAGAGTAATTAATAGAGAGCAGTAATCTAATCCAAGCAGCTGACTTATATGGACATAACTTCAGCTGCAGATGAACAGATATCTGCCCAAGAATTATGGTGGGAGATGGGAGCATCTGCCTGACATTTAGCACTGGATCCCATCACTGTTTCTTGCCCAAAGAAAATGCATGTTAATTGCTAAAAAGGATTGATTGTCCGGGTCATTGAACAGTAAAGAATGCTTCTGTCACTGACAGTAGTTATTGCTGCCTCCTATGTGTACCCCTAAATTATTTAATCCTCACCTGAATTTTAAGCCATTTGACTGAGGTGGAAGGATGTCATTTTTGACCTGTTTAAGTTTTAAGGCCTATGTTAAGGGCTTGGGTCAATAGTAGGGGTGCACCGATACTAGCATCGGTGCCAATATTGAGTATTTGGGTGAGTGCTTATACTCGCCCCAATCCACCGATACTTACCCTCGATACTGCAGTGCAGGGGGAGCATGGAGCCGGCTTCCTTTCCAATCATGAAGCTGGGAGGTGGGTCATGACGTGCCGCCCGGCTTCCTGATTGGCTAGGAAGCTAGCTTCACTTGTTGCTAGGCAGGCTGGCTTCCTCACCAATCAGGAAGCCGGACGGCACCTCATGACTCGCCGCCCGGCTTCCTTATTGGTCAGGAAGCCAGGAAGCCTTCCTGATAATCTGGGCACACGGCACCAAAAAAAACGGTATCGGGGCATCCCTAGTCAATAGCATGAGTTTCAGATGCTTCTGAGATAAATAAAAATAGAATCAGATGCATATAAATGTTAATTAAACTCATTCTGACCTGCATTTGACTTGCTTTAAACAGGTTTTGCATCCCCATAGACTTGTATGGAAATGCAAAACCCGTTTGAAGCAAATAAAACTTGTCAACACACAACCTTTAGATGTTGGCAGGCATGTTCAGATATTGGGAAACTTTTAGGGTTGGCTTTCCATTTCTGTGTTCAGAATTGTTGAAATATGGGGAAAATTTTAGAGCTGACTTTCTAGTTTTGTGTTAGCCTTTGCTTCAATGAGTGAATGCACTAACAGCCGAACTAGTGTCCCTATATTACATATTAGCCCATTTTGTATTTGTATATGTGTTGAGACATCCTTGTCCCTGCATTGAGAATCAGATGCTTTTTTTCTTTTTCCTGAAAGCCCTTTAATGTCCCTCCAACCTGAGCCTTTGAATTTAACATTTTGCAAGGTTTGAAAACAAAAAACTTGGTCCATTATCAAATACAATCTGAAGTACTTAGCTTTAGACAGAGCTCATGTGCCACTTACAGTATGTGGATATTTTTTTGCTTTTAAAATGTAATAGCAATATGATTAGCAAGGTCATTGTGTCATATTCACATGTTCCGAGAACCCTTGCTACAGAGTATTACTTACCATGTTTCTTATTTAAGCAAATAAGCACCATTGCAGTTGCCCTGGCCTTACTTAATGATGCTTTCTGTCTTTTTTATGGTATACGCTCTCCAAATTTTACATTGATTCATATAATCAAAAGGCATATGCATGATCTAGCTGGTGGTAACTACATTATGGAGTGATTGAGTTTCTACCTCACTTACAAAATTGGAGTAGTGGAAATTAAGAAATTAAAATGTATATTTTTGAGTGATATCACAGCCAGGCAGCATCGTAAAAGTAATTTTCACTGCAGCACTCAAATATTGCCGTAGCAGTTGGGTTACTCAACAAATAACACTGTGCTATATTAGTATGCTGAGCTTTAACTTTCTTTCCTCCGGATCTTGTTTAATATGCATGTGTACACATACTGGTTATCATGCTGCGCTTGCACATTATCCTGATTCTTACATGTACTTGGCTTCATGAAAGAAATACCTTCTGCCTAGAAGCAGTAAAAATGACAATCCTAGCTAACTGCACATAAAAGTGCATTCCTTCATCACTGTTCTGCTTTCTGACATCATTACAGTTAAATTTCCAGGCACCAAAACCTACATTGACCCTGAAACATATGAAGATCCAAATAGAGCTGTCCATCAATTTGCCAAGGAGTTAGATGCATCCTGTATAAAAATTGAGCGCGTGATTGGTGCAGGTAAGTCAGAGGTGTCTGTTTTCTTCAACATTTCCATTTAGCCTAGATTGAATATCAAATATGATATGACAGGAAAATAATTACAGCTTAAAAGCAAAACATTTTCTTTTAACAGAATGTAAAGTGCCTTTAAAAAAAATAAAAAATATGCTGTGCTTGTGAAATCCCTGTAAAACGGTCCATTGTTTTGATCTGTGTGTTATGGGGAAAGTGTTGATTTTTTTTATATTTTAAGTATAAGCTCTTCTACTGCATTATTAGACTAGCATTTGTTAACCATCATGCTGTGGCACCCTGGGATGCCTTCTGGCTTCCAGGGGAGCCTCAAAATTTTCACGTCGCCATACCTCCAATGAGAAGAGGGATTCTGATGTGAAGGGAGGGGCTCTTGATGTAAAAAAGTCGAACGCTAATGTAAAGAGGGGCACCTGATACAAAGGTGGGCTCTTGATATAAAGGGTAATTCTCATGTGAAAGGGGGGACTCTGATGTGAAGTAGAATTTGAACCCCACATTTTTTATGTTTCCCCCTTAAAAACCCTATCTGGCATCTTATCTTGGATAAGCGTCTGGAATGGATTAGACTACATGACTGTTAGGCTGGGTTTACACTTAGGCTTATCGAATATGTGTGGCGCGTTTTTAGCGCGATTCGCTAAATGGATATGCACGGCAAATTCGCCCCAAAGAAGCTCCTGTACTTCTTTTGGCGTAGGGCAGTTTGTAGCGCGTTTATACGGCCTGTAATACGCCCAGGTGTGAACCATACCCATTGGAAATAATGGGATTTCGGTGTTTGAGCATTTTGCAGAGCGTAGGAACGCGCTACAAAACGCCCAGGTGTGAACGGGGCCTAAGTGAAAGGTTCCATTCTTCACAAACTGACATACACTAACATGTTTACAAACATACAAGCAAAAAAAGAATTTCACTATAGGACAACTGAAGGTTTCTAAAGGCACCCCCTTACATTTGACTCCTTTTAACCTGTTTTAGTCACTGGTGAAGTCCATTTTGATGGTTAACAATGTCATTAAGGTTAGATCAATTACATATTAAAAACATGGACAACTCAGTAGGAATCATTTTACGACTTTAGGAATTATTATGTATTGTCTGCTATGTTTATAAACACCAGACATAGCAGGCAGTATTTATGTTTGCAGGAGACTTTAGTCAAGATCATGGGTCGGAAATAGAGATAAATAAGCTGCTATGAACAGACCAATATCTGATACAGATTTAAAAAAAAACAAATAACCCCAAGAGTTCAGTGGATTTATGGAATCCACATACACTTTCCTTGCTAGCAGTATAGTGATTAGCAATATTAAATATAATAAACTCATTTTACAAATAAGACTACTCTATTCACTGAATTCACTGCTCAATATTATTTTCAGATAGTATTCCATTTCTAAACAATGTAGTGCACTACTTTCTGCTATCCAAGCTTCTGATGGTGGATATTATTTATAGTAGCTTACATTTTAGGTTTATATGCAAAAAAAGAGCTTAGCAAACATCAACCTCTGTTCTCGTAGAGCAGTTCTGACCCTTTCTTGGTCTCCTATATCCCTTAAATGGTGAAGGCCCCAGTATGGGGGCACTGCCAGCTGGCAGCAACTCCTGGTTTAGTAACTCTGTAGTCTAATGGATGGGATTGTAAGTGTTATTACCCTTAATTTACCCATGGATATTAGACAAAGTTCATTCAGTACTTGCAATTTCAACAGATTCAAATGATAGTCATTTAGCCAGCAACCTCAGCAGATCCTCCACAACAGACAAGGTTTATTGGTGGGCTGAAAATGTATGGCATGTAACCTGCTGTTTTCCATGTCAGTAAAGAGATAAACAAACCACAATGATACAGAATAACATGCAGACTTTTAAGATACAAGCTTGCATATGTATAAACGTGCATATCAGCTGAAGGAAATATTTTTGGTCATTTGATCATTTCTTTAGGACTAATGACTTTGGGTATAGTTAGTGATTGCCATTGCAATCCTGCTTATAAACAATCAAAGTAAAGTAGTGAATTATGTCCAATTCATTGTAGTAAATTATACATGTTGTATGTTGGTGTTAGTGGGATTCACTGATTTGTTTGTTGGGAGACTTAATACAAGGCTCTGTAAAGACTAAATTATAGTGCACATGCATAAAAGAGATACATGGGGCTTAACAGCATCATTCAAAAAGGATAATTCACTATACAAACATGCTAACACACTCTGTACATAGTATCAGTAGTGGCACACATCTTTTTTACTTAATATGCCTTTTTTGACAGAGAAATACTTCTGCCGCCACAGGCAACAAAATAATGAATGTTAAATGCCAAATTGCTTCCCAGCACACACATTTAAGGTATAATTATATAGGACTAAGCAAGTTATCCTGTGAACAACTCTATTTAGATAAATCCTACAGGTGAAAACAGCTAATCTCATTTCCTGACTTAATATATAATTGAACACAAGATTAAAAAACAAAGCACATTGTCATTAGGGCAGAGATATTAAATATCAGGTTCTCTATCCACTGACAGGATGCAGTGCTTAATTCTGGCTGGATAGGATCGCTAAATTATACAGTGTGTATGTAATTTTGTGAAATCTGTGATAAGAGTGTTTCGCAACAACAGCAGGCCTTATGAGATTGTGTGACTGCATTGAAATGTCCCTTTGTTTATTGTTTGTCATTGCAAACCTTGGGCTTGGTACAAACAGCTTCAGCGTGATGACTCCGTGAGGTAAACCTCAAATAACATACACAGCGTTCACAAACACAACCTTACTGTTGCGCCAAAAATCAAGTGCATTTTTATTTTATTCCTCAGTAAAAATTTATGAGCACTAAAGGTAAGGTAGTAAATCGTGTTTATTGCTGTTCTTTCATAGATGTTGTCTATGTTTGCATTAGAAGAAGGTAACAGGATTTATTTACCGTGCTGGGATTTCATTTAATTAATCATACAATATCTTTTAAAATAAAATATCCTTTTACACATCACAGGTCTTATGTGGGTTTCATAAAAACTGCATTAGTTTGGAAACATCACTTGACTACAGCTGTTTAAATATAAGCATATAATATGTATTACACTTGATTTACTTCATATATAGCTGATTTATTAAAGTTAGATTTTATGTTTTTATGTGAATTAAACATACAAATAATAGCTAGACAATATTCACAGACTGTCACCAATGGAAAGGTTACTTTTTGATAGCTAGACATAGTGTAATTATTACACTAGTGTTCCTAAAGTGTGGGCCAGAAAGGGTGTACTGGGATGAATAGCTCAAAACACACAAGCATTCCGAGAAGTATTCGCTTTGTGTCATGCTACACCTTGCTGAAATGAGTAGGAATTGGGGTGTTTGGGGACTTTGATGCTGAAGTAACTGTTCACTTCCTTGCCACAGACAGGGTCCCCACGTAGGGGATGTCGAAACACTGGATCAGTGTGGTAATTTCACATAGGTGATGAATGTGCTTTAGCATCCAGCCCCTAATGACTCTAACCCCTAGCTACCTTTTGCTTTCAAAGTTGATAAAAGATAAATTTTCACTCATGTTCCAAACAATAGCTGAATAATTAAGCATCATCCCGACTTTTTTCTTCTGACTTAAGGAGATCACTATTTGAATGCATGTTTATCTGTGCTTGGATAACGACATTATTCAGCTTGCAGGGAGACTTCTGTACCTAAAGCAAAGTGATAGAGATATAGCGGTTGACTTACTTTTTAAAAACATTTCTGTGCACATGATTAGGTATTTTAAGTGAACATTAGTTCACTTTATTCAGTAAACTATGTGAACATTTGCTACTACCTTTCCTGACAAATACATGTCAAAAAAATGTATACTTAAAGAAGAACTCCGAGCAGAAGAAAACTTCATCCTTGCAGGGCTACCCCTGCACTGGAAGGGTTAAGTGCTAGTTTTCGTCTCAGGTCTAAAATAACAATAACGCCTGGCTTCTAGACCAGTCTCTGCATCCTCTTTCCACCTCCACTTTGGAGATGGATTGACCCTCGGCATCCTCCCATCCGGTACACTGTATTGAACGTGGCAACTCAGGGGTTCTTAGACCACCAGAGCAGAGGGGAAGAGAGGCTACAGGGACCAGTCTAGCAGCCAGTCGGGACCAAGGTTCAGGAGTATATCTTTGTATTTTAGATCCTAGGCGAAAATGAGCACTTAACCCTTGCAGTGCAGGGATAGCCCCACTGCAAGGGTTACGTTTTCTTCTGCTTGGAGTTCTTCATTAAAATCCAGGTTTCTTCCAGTTTGTCATGTGATGAGTGGGGTCCTTCTTCTCCAGCATTGGTTGTGGGCGGTCCTCATTGCTCCATCGAATAGCACTCAAGTTGTGACGTGAAAGTGTTAAAATATACAGCATTCCACTATGATCCCAGGCTTCATGAGGACACCTCCCTGGGTGTGTCTTTGACAGTCAGGGCTCATGGTAAGTGGTTAAACGACACTGGGAGCAATTTGACCTAGAAGAGGAGTGGCAAATGGTGTGGAAGAGGATGTGGAGGGCAGCATTGAATCATAGAGTTAGTGATTAGTGCTTTCAGACCATTTTTTTTTTATCAAACAGGAAAGGGGGCACAGCTGTTTCGTAAAAACAAATCCCATAGTTTGACTTTTATGTAAACCCATAGGTTCTAGAGACAATTGGATCAGAAGACCAATAAACTTGATGGGCATTAAAAAAAAAAAAGTAGGTATACTTATTTGTTTATTTCTTTGTAGGAGAATTTGGTGAAGTGTGTAGTGGCCGGCTAAAGCTTCCTGGGAAGAGAGATGTAGCCGTTGCTATAAAAACCCTTAAAGTTGGCTACACAGAAAAGCAGAGAAGAGACTTTTTGTGTGAAGCGAGTATAATGGGCCAGTTTGACCATCCAAATGTTGTTCATTTGGAAGGAGTGGTAACACGCGGTAAGCAAATCTCCCACTTGTGGCTTTTAGGTTTTGCTACGCTTGAATGGAATGTTTTCAGTCTTGTTGTAAATATTTATCATGTACAAATGGATGTTATTTAAATTACTAAACAAAGATAGGCTTTCTCTAGGATTTACTTTAACCACGCATGCAATATATCCTACACATGGAAAGAAAGTACTTTTCAAAGTGCTATCTCCAGTTTATGTCAACTTTGATTATTTATATGTACAAATTATTTCCCTGATGTTTAAAACTGCCTATCTTGTTACCATTTCTGCTACTTCCTAAATGGAAACTTTCAAGTCCACAAAGATGTTTCTTATCAAAACCAGTGTCGTTTTTTGGTTTGGTGAAGGTTTCACAAACATTTAACTTTTTATGTTTTTAGGAAAACCGGTAATGATTGTAATTGAATACATGGAGAATGGATCTCTAGATGCATTTTTAAGGGTGAGTGCTGTTCATATAATATTTGAGAATGAATGTCTAGTGTTTTATAAATATGCATGGGATTTATGTTTACATTTGCTTTCGCTTCAGCTGTATTGATTAGGACGTAATAGGAAACCCATTCCTTTAATTTAAACATCAGCATCTAAAGCAGCCTGGTTGCCTAAGGTCTTATTTCAGTGGCTGGCAGGGGAAAAAGGACAGGTTCTTGTTTAATCTTAGAAATGTTTTATTCTTTCTGATGTAGCCATTGCTTGGAAGGTTATATTTAACAGAGGCTTTAGTAATGTCAAGATAGTAAAGTGTATGTTGTAAAATTGTATTCTTTTTGTATTTGTGTAAGTTTAGAATGCAATAAAATACGAGTTCTGTAGATCAATAGTGTGCTATATGTACTTTTTGTAAAATAGAAATACAGCATGAAACTGTTGTTATGAACATAAAAAAAAATATCTTTTGATCAATGGACTACGTTTAGTACTGTACAACAGTTTTTAAAACTGAAGTAATTTAAAGCATTACTTCACTTTTCTGACAAACTTTGGATTTGTAAGCCATGGACATGAAATCATCAACCTTATAAATAGTATTACTCTCATACTGTTATGCCCTTATGGGGGTTTGAAATGTGTATCTTGTCCAGTAGCATTCAAAATTGTTCTCTGTAAATTAGGCACAGCTGTCTATAATTATTTATGATTATCTGCATAATGATTGCATAGACTAATTCCACAAGTCTAATTTCCCCCATAGCAAAAAGCAATTTAAATAAGTATATTTAAATGATTTACAAAGTAAATTATTTTCCTGCCTTGTCTTTTTAATATTTTATTTTTCAGCAAGGTACAGTATGGCTTTAAATTAGGAGGAAACTGTTCTTATTATAATTATTAATTATATTATAATTTATGATTTCGCGTTTCAAACGTTATCATACCTGGGATGTCTACTGGACTCTTGTTTGGACAGATTTAGTGCGTTATTCTTAAGATTTACTAAGAATTACAGGCCTACAATATAAAACAACAAATTGCAATGAAAAACAATGTACCGCTTTGGCATGCTAAAATCCTGCATAATCATACCGCCAGGGAGGTTAAAGGAAACCTTTAACAACAGTCAGGCAGCTGGTATTTTCAGAAAATGGTGAGCATCCCCTGTACTTTTGGCATGACATGTTTACTTTAAACTATTACCAGGAGTGTGTGGGGACAAACTTTAGAGTTATACTGCAGGATATATCGCTGCTTGCTCTTTCCCTTGCGGGTCTCATGAAATGTTTCCTTTCATGTGTCTTGAAACATTGTGGGAAACCACGAGTAAGGTTTGAGCACCTAGTCTTATAATCTGCCCATTAATACTGTTTGTAAGCCTGTTCTATGCATTCACTTCTAATTGGTTGGTCATGTGTAGCAAATGCATCTCATGTATAAAGCCCTAGCTCCGTTCACAGCCCAGACTGGCATATTTTACCTGCAGATTTTTGTCCATACTAATTTGATATAGCTCCTGTGAGGTTTAATGAATCATCATGGTTAGACATTGTTCTTAAAACATCTACAGTTTCACCAGGACGTGTTCCAATTATTTGTTAGTTTCAAATGAATGCCCAGTCAGTGAATTCAAACGGCTTAAATAACAAAACTTGAAAACAATATAGTTTCCTGTATCTTAAGTGTTTATTCCCAAAGTATAAGTGGGAAAATGTGTTCAGTCACGCTGGCACAATAATGTTGTTATTGCTGTATTCTCACTTGCTTTGCTGTGACAAGTTTAATAAAACTGAAAAAAATAAATTGGAGTAACAGAATACCAAGACACTGGATGCAAGTTAATTTAAAGAGCGCTTTACTTTCATTGTAAATGTATTGGCATATTGTTACCGGTCTAACATTTCCACCTAGAGATTCAATATTGGCTCCTGGGTCAACCATGCAACTATTTGACAAGGGTGGCCAGCAGTAGTTCTTTGTGTATAAGACTAGAACTACCGTATTTGCCGGCATATAAGACGACTCGGCGTATAAGACGACCCCCTACGTTTTGTGTTAAAATATAGGTTATGCGCTATACTCGTCGTATAAGACGAGTATAGCCCAAAATAATGTTTAAATGCACCCACTAACATCCATGGCTGTATTCCCGAGTGTGGCTCGGGGTTAATTTTCAGTGCCATAAGCGGTAACCCCGAGCCACACTTGTGATTACAGTCTCTTACCTTGTCCACGATCCCCGCTGTGTCCTCCGTCTTCAGCTGAGTCAATCACCGCAGGCTTTGTTTTAATGAATACAGGCTTTGTATTCATTAATACAAAGCCTGCTGTGATTGGCTCAGCGCGGTATACTGTATGTAGCCGTAGCAGTATACCGTATCCTTTCGTATGTACCCGGCGTCTAAGACGATCCCCCGATTTTCGGGGGATGTTTTAAGGTCTCAAAACCCGTCTTATACGTCGGCAAATACGGTATATAAAAAATGCGTTCCATATTCTTCTACCTTGCTAGATAGTAAAGGAGATCAAATTAAAACCATTTTCTAGCATACTTTTAAAAATAACATATTTGAAACTTGCTTAGATATTACACATTTATAATTAAATGTGTCACTGGAAGTAGGTTTTCTGCTCTGATCTATATAGGAGTTCTGATAGAAGGACATATAAAACAATGATTTACAAATGCAGCAAAACATGAGAATCCCTGATTAACCAAGGGTTAATGAAGAAACCATAAAGAATACCAAACACACCAGACCCTGATAACAGCAAATAGCTCACCAGTTTGTAACTATCAAAGAGGTGCTCATGGGAGGGGCAGTTCATCAGAAGTTCATCAAATAATTGGAAATCTCTCCATCCAACTGCATAAAACAGAATTGCATACATTTAAAAACATATGTGAAAGCTATACATCATGATCAAGGTGTTTTTGAAGTGTGGTTCACATTGCCCTCATAGCAAAAAGTAACGTTTAAATAAGTAGATGTAAATTATTGACAATGTTTATGATTTTTCTGCCATGTCTTTTTAATATAACATTAGTCAGAGAGGTAGAATATGACTTTAGCTTAGGAAAGATCTGTTCTTAGAGCTGGATTCCAAAACGGTTGGATAATATTCTCTACGGTAAAATGTGGAAGCAGAACTGCATTGATTGTGTGTTGGGCATTTGACTGAATACTAAAACTCACACTATTTATTACTACTTTCTGCCCCACATGCCTTCATGTAATGGGAGATAGCAGTTGTAAATACATGAAGGAAATTATGGGAAACACAATATTGTGTTTTTATTAACCCCTTTTTTCTGCATATTTAGAATAGACCTGTATGAAGGCATCTTTCCATTTCCTCATAGTTGTGTAGACCATAGGCCCCATTTAAAAGCCCTGTTTTTTTACCAGTATTAAAGGAAAAAACATGCAGGCTGCCATTGCTGATCTCTGCTTATGAAAATGCTAGTTGCCATGATATCTCTTTGACTTCAGTGCTTTGACTCAACAATCTGGAACAAGTATGCTAAGGACTCTTATTTTGCTGATCCACATACTTGTTCCAGGTTACTGACCAACAGTAATAAAGCTAGTAAGTCAGAATAACAGACAGGCAACAAGCACTTTAAGAAAAACACCAGCAGTGGCAGCCCCAGTAACTCAGGTATGACAATCCTATAAGACATTGGACGACTGACAGCCACAGGCATGCCTTCCAGAGGCACGATGGAATTTATAGATTCACCATAGCTGGAAGGCTAAAGTTTGACAACCACATCTTTAAGCTAAAAACAGGAGTAAGTGGGGACACTCCTTAGATTTGCATTGCTGGTTGAAGGTGCTGATTTCTCATTCCCTTATGGGTCTCATGAAACTTTCCTTTCATCTGGCTTGGAACATTGCAGGAAGCCACAAGTAAGCTTTGAGCATTTAGCCTTATAATTAGCCCATTACCACTAATACTGTGAGCTTGTTTTATACATTCACTCCTAATTGGTCATGTGAAGCAAAGGCATCTAATTCATACACCCCTATCTAATTTTTGTAGAGCTGCATTACAGCCATGACTGTTAGTGACAGTCATCAAGGTGTCTGTGAAGTGTAGTTCATATTTGAATCTGTTAGAGTAAATTGGGACATTTATATGTAGTGATTAACAAGGACAGAGCTTAACTAGAGGTTACTTGAGGTGTGTGTACGCTGATAAACCTGGTTAAGTCTTACTTTCAGGTTTCCAGGGCACACTTCCATACAGAAATAATTAGAGATTTCAGAGATAAAAGATTCTCTGAAATTGGGTTATAATAGGAGAGACAAATATTTTAGAACTACATGTCCATTCTCCAACATGTACGTGTCTGCAGTGTGCAGGTTGTTAAATGACAGTCACCATCAGCTGGCTGCTGAACAGCATGCATAATACACATTATTAGCAACTGCCTATATTGGCCAAACAAGCACACGGACATGCCTATTTAAATCACACAATTATTTGTCTAGTTTGAAGATGGCAAAAGACTTATTTCAGACGTAAAAGTAGATGTCCACAAATGCAGATCAACTAAAAGACTTTCTGTTATCATCTATCAGACAGGAGTCTCTGCAGAGGTCTAAAGGTCCCACAGACTTCATGATGGCTGACCAATCTTGCCAGTATTGGCAGTGTAAGGGGAATATCATCTAATGGTTGCAGGTATCTTACATCTCAGCATGCCAGCAGCTAATGTTCAGCACAGTAGAAAATGCCCTTACAGTCCTGATATGGGGGTTAGTTTTTGGCAAAGGGTAGTGATAACCACAAAGTGCACATATATATTAATATCTTAATGTATTGTACCAACTTGTTATTGCGTATATATCAAACTAAGCAAGAAAGTGCACATTTATTTATATTACTTTTTATGTATTGTACCCATTACTTTTCATTACATATTTATCAAACTAAGCTCTGATCATTTTCTGCTTCAGAAATCTTTGGAAATGTTTACTTCAGCTCCCAAAAGTAAACGTACAGGATCTACTCAGACAATGCCCTTTATAAAAGTCCAAACACTAAACACCCCTGGATCAAATGCCCAGGTAATTAGACATTCAGCCATTCAAAGCAGAACAGCCATCCATAATATTCATAATTTCCATGCATTTTAAAATTGTTTCAGTTGTAGTGGTTAAAGATTATATTATAATCTTAATGCAGTTATAAGGGTTTAGACAAGGATTACAGTATAGGACTTCCATTCTCCAAAGTGTCAGTTGCTGAGGGGTCCAATTTGTGGAGGTAATTTCAGTTTCCCACATTTGATGGGAAACTGGAATTACCCTTTGAGTGTCTGTGCAGTTTGCAGTCACTCCACAGGACACACTGTATCCCAGAGGATCCACAGCTTCTAGAAAATACAGTTCAACTAATAGGATCATGTCAGAAAAGTAATCCTGATGCTGGCAGGTCACTGGTGACAGAATCGGTAACAGACCACTTACCTTTTTCTATGAAGTTGCTTCTTTACTAGCAGGGCCAGTGAGATGTTGCTCTCTAGTTGTTCACTCACTAGAAAGTAATATTCTGCAGCATTCTGGGCAACAAGGGAACAGTATTTTTAAGTGAAGTGGGTACTTTATCTAGGTATCCTGCTGTTGGCAATGTGATACCAGTGGCAGAATTGCTCATCTGACATGGCCCATAGAATTTACCTGAAGATCAATCAGCCATGACTCTGCATGAGGGCTAAAGTTGCCCTCAGACCTTACAATTAAAGTCCAATATTGGCATACGGAAGTGAAAATCATTAAAAAGCTGTGGGTACCTTGAAATCCTAGCATATTTATTATTGTGCTGGGCTTCACTTAACAGTTAAAGTGTATGTAAACCCTAGGAATGAACTTCTCCCTTTCTTTCTTTTCCCCTTCTGCCAGAAGTCCAGGGAGTTCCTAACTTCCTGTAGGATGATGATAATGCTGCACTGAATTCTCAACAATTATCAACCCTGCCTGAGTGCTCTCTGTAAACTAAAGAATACTTCCTTTCTATGTTATAGAGATGAGGATTGGGGGTTTTCTGTAGTCCTAACACACTTCCTGACCTGGAATAACAAACCTGCTCCTCCATAGATACAGTACATTGAGTGAGCGTCGTCACACTAGGACAGGAAGTGTGTCGCTGGCAGGATCACCTGACAAAAGACAAAAACTAATACAGCTAGTTATCTAAGGACTGGAAAGCTGAAATATATAATTTTTTTGATCTGGGGTTAAGATAAACTTTTATTTTCACAACTGCACAGTATAGCCTTACAGTTGCTATTTGGAGGTTAGTTTTTGGAAAAGTGTAGTATTAGCTAGAAAGTGCACATTTATTTATATTAAGTTTTATGTATTGTACCCATTACTTTTCATTACATATATATCAAACTAAGCTCTGATCATTTTCTGCTTCAGAAATCTTTGGAAATGTTTACTTCAGCTCCCAAAGGTAAACGTACAGGATCTACTCAGACAATGCCCTTTGTAAAAGTCCAAACACTAAACACCCCGGGATCAAATGCCCAGGTAATTACACATTCAGCCATTTGAGGCAACACAGCCATCCATAATATTCATAATTCCCATTCATTAAACATAAAACAATTGCAGTCTGATCAAAACATCCATCTGTGGTTCAACATCAGTGGGTTACACCTGTCTAGCAATACTGATACTGCAATGGGATATGTAAATTCAAAACCTGAATGAGATATTTTTTTTTCCTACAGAAGCATGATGGACAGTTCACTGTCATTCAGTTGGTGGGGATGCTGAGAGGGATTGCAGCCGGAATGAGATATTTGGCTGACATGGGATATGTACATCGGGATCTTGCGGCACGAAACATTCTGGTCAACAGTAACCTTGTCTGCAAAGTGTCTGACTTTGGATTGTCTCGAGTCATAGAAGATGACGCAGATGCAGTCTACACAACAACAGTAATTTTTCTTTTCATTTTCGACATGTGCAGTTAAAGTGGAACCCCAAACAAACAGTTAAATATTCAATTTAGATTGATATATGTTTACTGTTTTACCTGGCAAAGGATTTGTCATTTTGGACAGCCGTTCTTGTAATACACATACTGTGCATCTGCTAGTGAAAACGACCACTTTAGTGTGGCTGGTTTATCTTAAGGGCCCATTCACATTATTGTGCTGTGGTCAAAAAGAATGGCACCCCAATACACTAAAGTAAGTCACCTGCTCTGGAGCGCAATACAATATTGTGCTGTGTGATACGTGTCCAAAAAAGTCCAGGTTCGGTTTTGCTTGGGGTGCGTTGGCAATCCATTTAAAATGAAAGGAATGCTTTAATACATTGCAGGTTAATGCACAATATAGCGTCCTTCAGTGTACGTGTGTTACTGCACCGGAAAAGTGTGAACCTGGCCTTACTGTTTCTCAGGTCAGCCCTTATGTGGCTGGTTCACAAGAATTACAATTCTTTTTGTAGGTAAACAGTGAACATTTATATATTTCAACTGTGAATAAGCTGTTTGACTGGAGTATCACTTAAAATTCACCTTAGGTGCTAAGCATTTTAGTTTGTGTCCATTATTAAGATGTTATGAGCAAAATGAATAAGAAGATTGAGCTTGGTGAAATGTAAGCGCTACAATAAACAGACCAGCAGAGGTAGCGGTGTGTGACTTCATCGGTTTCCTGTTAAAGACAGGAAACTGCCTGTTCATTGAAGAATTTATGAATGGGGACTAGCACTCACTACAGAGGCTCTTCCCCATTCATAAACTAATGATAGTAAAATATTTTTACTATCATTAGTTTGTGAATGAATGAGAAGCCTCTGTAGTGCTTCCCATTCATTGAGTGCTGGGGCTGCAGAAAAAGAAATTGAGGACTTATGTCCTCAATTTCTATTTCAAAAGGAAAATGTCAGGCGTCTATTTAGACCCCAGATATTTCGCCGCAGCCCCCCCAACAGTAAAAAAATAAAAATTATTAAAAAATAAATAGAAAATTTAAAAAATAAATAAAATAATGTGTACAAAAAAAACTAATAAAAAAAGCACAACCCCTCCCTCCCCCCACATAACATACACATATTGAGGTGTACGCCATGCACATGCGCTGCAGTGCGTTGTTAGAACGCATCGCAGTGCATGATTTTTTTAATGTATTTTTTTCTTTAAAAAAAAATTAAATTAACTGTGGCAGCGCATGGCAAAGCTTTGTGACGCATTGCCATGCGTTGTGATCTTTGTGTTGCAATAAATATACGCCTGTATCATTTTATCACAACACAAACACCAACACAGCGTGACATTTTTTTTTAACATAAGTTGCTTATTTACAGTTTTGCGTACCGTAATTTTTTTACCTTTTCGCAAAAAGGCGCAATTTCAAATTTGCAAATATTTGTTATTTATTAACTCAATACAGTTTTATCTTTTAGATTTAGTCAGAAAATTATTATTTTTTGTGCGCTGATACTGATTTTAGTGTGTTTTATCAATTGAATTGTGTATTTTTATCGGTTTAATATTAATTTGAGAAACATTTGCACAATTATCGCACGGCCTACAAATTTAGTATCACCATCTTTTTATTCTACCGGGCCTGCGCTTTCAGAAAATATATGGTTTGGGGGGTCTTTTACAAACGCTAACAACGCAGCAGTGGAAAATCAAATCAATGGAAAAAGTTGCCGGCATCTGGAGCCTCTCATCCCTGCCTGGAGCCGCTCCAGGCAGGGATCTGTGACTCCATGGATCCCCGCTGCTGTCCCCCGCTTGTAGGGGCTGTGGCAACGGGGATAAAAAAAAATCTCCAGGGTTGGGGGGTGGGGGGCGGAGCAGCAAGCGTCGGCTGGCGGGGAGAAGCCACAAGTTTCAGGATGGCTGAGCGGTGAGGAGAACGGAGCCGCTGTCATCATGTCAGTTTCAGGATGACAGCTGCTCTGTTCCTGGCCGTACGGAGGATCGATAAGTATCATTGATATTTACCGATCCTCTGTGTAGCACAAACACCAGAGTGATCGTGTGATCACTCCATTGTTTGTAAATAACTGGGGACACATAGGGGGTTATTCACAAAGCTGCTGAAGGCAGCCGTGTGAATAACCAACCCGAAGTGAAGTGAGCCGAACGCCGTTCGGCTATTCACTTCAGGCTTGTACAGCTGATTTGCAAAAATGGCTTGGCCAGCTGATTTGAAAAATGTTCCGGAGGGCTTGGTAGCGGAATGGTTAAGCTTTATTAAAAAAAAAAACCACTAAACAGTAATTTATTTATTTTTGCATTGGTGCATGTTACCCATGGCAGTGCCCAGCAACCTATGCATTTTTTCCAAAAGCTTGCAAATTTGCCTTGAAAAAAGCAGAAAAAAATAGCAAGACTCCCATAGAATTCAGTGGGGTTTGGACACTATGTTCATGGTTTGCAGATTTCAGGTAGGGCTTGCAGATCCTCCCACAAACCCAATAAAAGTATTCCAGTTGAAGGGGTACTGTAAGTGGCTGCCTGTATATAGCAACTTGGTTATTGTTTTATGTG